ACTCTTTCCTCAGCTCCATTTACAAAACCCTAAAAAACAAAACAGACAAAAAAAATCCTAACCTGTTAAGTTAAATGCCCTGTAACACTGCACTTTCATTAAATCATTTAAATAGTATCTTAATTCCATTCAGGTCACACAAACAGCCTTCTCAAAGAACTTGTGGCTTCTCTAATAGAAAAGGATTTTAAGAGACGGTTACCAGAATAAAGAACTCCAATTATAACAGTGAGATTGCTTTGAGGATTGCCAAATTAGTTTCTGTACTTTCTACTTCTAAGTTAAGGCACAGAGCCATCTCAGAATTGCAAATATTCAACTATTCTTTAAAATATTGCATAAGAAAACAACTGTCTTTGGAGAGAAGTGGTAAGAAGAAAACTCCCAACGTAGTTAAAAACCAAAAACGACTATGACCTCATCTTTAAAACAGCCTTCTAGGCTGCTTTACATGTCCTAGGGCAAAGCCCTTAAAAAAGAAAACAAGAAAAAAAGGGAAACCTGAAGACGTCTTCAGAGCGGTGGAATTCATTAACAACAGAAACCCCCCTGGGCTGTGGACACAGCATTCTATTTCTCAGGCTGTGAAGCGAACATGACCAAAGGTTTCCTTCCCACGAGAGAATAACTTTTAGAGCAAATGGGGAAGGCCATTAAAGAACTTGATATTTTCGTGTATATTTCATTCGCAGGCTTTTGCAAACCAAGTTCCCAGGAACAACTCCACTCGTAGCCATGCCTCGATTTGCTCAACCGACTTACATCACAGTTTTCAAAGGATTCAAAGTACAGTATACTCTCAAAGTAAAGTTATTCCTTAAAAGCAAAACACAGCCACCTTTTAAAACACGCACAAACGTGATCCACGGCCCGAAGACCTCAAAAGTCTTGACCGAATAACCAACACCTGGGGAGGAAGAAAGCAACCTGGTAGCCAGACCCCGGGCGTGAGCAGCTGCCGCTGAAGGGCTGAAGGACACGCGGGGCTTTGCTCCCCGGGCAGGCGAGCAGGCTCCGGGCGACTCAGGCCAGGCCTGGGGACAGCCGGAGGGCTTGCAGTCGCGGGCACCGGCTTTGTGGCCATTAAGAAACGCGGGAAGGTGAGAAGCGGCCGAGACGCGAAACGAGAAAAGCGCCCTCAAGTTTGCCCGATATTAACGCCTCGAAGATGAAAAGGGCCGTTTGTTTCATCGGCGGACCGTCGTGTCGGGCCGTCCCCCGCCCGGGACTCCCGGCGGAGCTCCACGAAGGAAGCCGCCGGGAGGTTCGGAGCCGGCTTCCCCCCAACGCTCGCGGCCGCCCTGCCCGCCCCGCCTGGCCCCAGGACCTCACCTGCCCGGCCGGCCCCCGAGGCGCGGGCGGGCGGGGGGGAGCGCAGCCGCAGCCAGAGGTGCAGCGCGGCCCCGAGCACACACGGGCACAGCAGCACCAGCCAGTTTCGCATTGGCCGCCCCCGCCTGCTCCACCTCGCACCCCCGCCGCGCTCCGGGTTCTCCCGCGTCCCGGGAGGGAACCTGCAAGTAGAGAGGCCGAGTGCCGGCGGCCGACTCCCGCGCTACGACTTCGGGGACGCCCGCCCTCGCGCCCGACGCCGCCCAGGTTCCTCTCGGCTTCGGGCCCCGCGCCTCAGCTTCCTCAGACCACCAGCGGCAGCAGCTCAGCCGGGCAGAGCCCCGCCCCCTCCGCTTGGCCTCCCCTGGCCCCGCCCACCTTTTCT